GTTCCGCCAAAAAAATAAAAATAAAATAATAAAAATAAAAAGATAAAAGATGGAAATGGATAGTTTAGTTGATAAAAACTGGAGTTGTTTGGAGGTAGCTGACCTTTATTAGAAGCTTAGACTTGTTAATGTACTTCTACAAACATAAGAATCTTGTAAATCTTGTTTTACATTAAGGGATCTTTGTTTTTCTGACAGGACTGTCTTATTCCTCTCTTCAGTGAAGCTTTGCGTTCATGTAAGCAACATGATGTGAGGCCATGGATGCAGGCATTAAGATATACCATGTACCAGAATCAGTTATTGGAGAAAATTAAAGGTAGTTTTCCTTTTGGAAATTAATTTTATTGAGATGCACATTATACATTTAAAGCATGCAGTTTGGTGAGGTTTAGCACATCTTGCTTGTGTAAATACCAGCTCTCACATAGCTCAGAATGTGTCTCACTTCTGCAAATTTTCCTTATACCAGTTCTTCAGTCATCTTCTCCCTCTCTCAGGCAGTTACTGATTTGCTTTCTGTTACTCTTAAAGTACTTACCTTGGGGCTGGGGAGATGGCTCAGTGGAATAAGCACTTCCCTGGCAAGCGCAAGGGCCTGAGTTCAATCCCCTGTTCCACCAAAAAATAAAGTACTTACCTTTGCTGAATATTTATTTTTGTTTTTCTAAGTGGATAGTTAAAAGTGGGTGTAATTTACATTTTTTTTTTTTTGGGCAGCTTATGAAAGTTATGGTTCCATATCCTTAATTGGGGACTAATAAAACATTTTCCTCTCTCCAGAGCAAACAGTCCCAATTAGAAGTCATCTCATGGAGTTAGGTTTAACGGCAGCAAAATTTGCTAGAAAACGGGGGAATGTATCACTTGCAACAAGACTGCTAGCACAGTGCAGTGATGTTCGGCTGGGAAAGACCACCACTGCCCAGGACTTAGTCCATCATTTTAAGAAGCTGTCAACTCAAGGTCAAGTGGATGAAAAATGGGGACCGGAACTTGATATTGAAAAAACCAAATTGCTGTATACAGCAGGTTAGTAAAATGAACTGCAGTTAGTATAAGTAAAAAGAAAATCCTGTGTGTGAGCATTAACTGTCTGTGCTGTAAGGTGGTAATAGAAAAGTTGATTACTTACAGATACTGCATAATATTTGCTTCCTGAATGAGTCATATGTAATTTATTTATCTGTAATTCAATCCTTCTAAAAGTAGTTTTATTATATGAATATAAATGATTTCAGAAATTATTGAACTTTTAATATTTAAATTAACTCTGGGGTTCCGGGTGGATGGGGGCCTGAGTTCAATCCCTGGTTCCGCCAAAAAAAAAAAATAATAATAATAATAATTAGATAAATTAAGTTAACTTTTTTTGGAGACAATGTCTAGCTGTCAACCAGTTTAGGCTAGTTTTGATGTCACTGTGCCAGGCAAAGATTTTTTTTTTTTTTTTTTCAGAACTGGAGGTTGAACTCAGGCCCTTGTGCTTGCCAGGCAAGCATTTATTCCACTGGGCTATTTCCCGAGCCCCTTGACATCACTGTGTACCTCTGGCCTTGAACTCTCGGACAGTTCTCTTACTTCAGACTCTAGTGCTAGAATTATGGATGTTTACCACTGTTCCCTCCTTAAACTTACTTGATTTTAGAACCAAACGTTTCTTTTACTTTGAAATACATTTCAATCATTTGCTTTCAAGGTTAATGTCGAATTTGCTTTTGGATTTCTCTAGGCCAGTCAACACATGCAATGGAAATGTTGAGTTCTTGTGCTATATCTTTCTGTAAGTCTGTGAAAGCTGAGTATGCAGTTGCTAAGTCAATTCTTACGCTGGCTAAATGGATCCAGGCAGAATGGAAAGAAATTTCAGGACAGCTGAAACAGGTTTATAGAGCTCAGCAACAACAGAACTTCTCAGGTCTTTCCACTTTATCTAAAAACATACTCACTTTGGTAGAACTGCCATCTGTCAATACAATGGAAGAGGAATATCCTCGGATTGAAAGCGAGTCTACAGGTATGACTTATTTTCTTTTATTACCTTTAAAAATACTAATTTTAGAACTTTAAAAAATTACAGTACTATACTGGCTATAACTTGCCACAAAAAGTGTGTTTGAAGGTGTAGTAGGCAAAAAAAAGAAGCTACTACATTATATTGTTTACAGACAGTAACCAAAACATTTAAGATATAATACTGTACATCCAATCTTTAAGATTTAAGTTACTTTTGTGACCTAAACATTTGTGTTGATAAGCTTTTGTCCCTGTAGCTTGAAGTATCACTTCACAGCAAGAGGACTAAGATATAAAATAGTAGCCTATGTTCCTTTTGGTATTGACAGAAACTACAGGAAGACTAAGCTAGAAACAAAGTTAGCAGACTTTCAGTTTATTTAGTGTAGTTTTAGTTCTTTTTAGTATTTGTACCCAGTGCCTTGCACATGCTGAGGAAGTGCTGCACATCTGAGCTACACTCCCACCCCCCAATCAGTGTTTTATGTATTATTTAGAGTTAAGGAGATAACTAATCTCTTTGTTAAGGCATTAAAATAGACTTTTAAATGTTTTTCTGATACCTAAAATTTTAATTACTGATACTGGTCTTACAAAATAACTGTATTGTATGTGGTTATCAGTCCTTAAATGGCTAAGGGAAGGACTATTATCATTATAAATTTTGGCAAAGGAACTATAGTGAGCAGTTATTCTCCAAAATAGAAAAAGGACTTTTGCTCTGTCTCGAGTTTCTGATTAGATGAGATGATATAACTATCACCGAAGCAGTATTTTTGGCAGAATGTTTAAAATGAATCTTAAAAATAAAAAAAAAAAATGATGGATCTAGTCATGAGGAAAAAGATACTTAGATGCAGAATATAGAACATTGTTAATAGCATGTCTGATACTTGAACTATCAGTTCAGTATCATTAAAGACCTTTATGTGTTCTGTAGGTGCTAATTTAAGTTTGCTTGGGAAGCTAAGTAATTATGTTTTACCAAACTGTACAGTAATATTATGGTACTTACTGATTACCTGTAGAGAATAAAGACCTTAAGTGTTCATGGGAATGACATTAGAAATTTATGAGTATGCTAAGTTATTTTTTTCTTTTATCATGGCAGTACATATTGGAGTTGGAGAACCCGACTTCATTTTGGGACAGTTATACCACCTATCTTCAGTACAAGCACCTGAAGTAGCCAAATCTTGGGCAGCATTGGCTAGTTGGGCTTATAGGTGGGGCAGGAAGGTGGTTGACAATGCCAGGTATGTAAGTTTCAATGTGTAACTTATTAATGCATTGCAAAGTGGCAATTTAAAGTATCTGACAAAATGGTGGGTTATGTAGCTCCATGCAGAATCCTTGCCTAGCATGTATGTGTGTCCTCCAGTACCACAAAAAATTGCCATCAATAATAAATTGATAAATGTCCACTAATTTGCTAAAGTTTAAGTAGCTAAAATATTTGATAACTTGTTTATTTTAATAGTCAGGGAGAAGGTGTTCGTCTGTTGCCAAGAGAAAAATCTGAAGTTCAAAATCTGCTTCCAGACACTGTAACGGAAGAAGAGAAAGAAAGAATATATGGAATTCTTGGACAGGCTGTGTGTCGGCCAGCAGGAATTCAGGCAAGGAAAATATGTATGATATAATGTGTAAGTGAGGTAGTGATAAGGATGTTCTTCCATGTCAGTGATTTTAAGGAAATGGGCGCATGTACTTAATTAAATATTAAATGAGGTTTAGGTAATTCTTGCTGGCAAAAAAATTGAATTTCAAGTTGCAAGTAAGTTTTACTTTTGTAAACCTGTAATTTATTGAGAAGTTAAGTCATTTCTTTGATTTAAAGTCATGTCCAGATCCTATCAAAAAGAGGTAAGGGCCAGCCAAATAGCTCAGCAGATTAAATCACCTGCAAGCAGGCTCAGGGGCCAGGGCTGATCCCCGGGCCTGCCATGCCGGCCCTGCTCCCAGGGCACGCTGAGATGGCAGTTGAAACTGGGCGAAAATTGACACTGGGTGTGGTGACATGCACCTGTAATCCCAGCTCTTAGTAGGCTATAAATAGGCGGATCACTATGAGTCCAATCTAGTAATGAGACCCTGAACATCCTGTAGACCCTTCCCTAAAAAATACAAAATAAAATTAGATTTCAATTTCTCCTAATCATAACTGAGGGCTGAGGCAATAACTCAGCAGCACAGCATTTGCCTGGCAAGCACAAAGTCCTGAATTCAATTCCCAGTTTAAAAAAAAAAAAAAAAAAAATCAGCCATCATAAATTAGGGTCTGGGGTAGGAATGTACCTCAGAGGCAGAGTGCATGCCAGGCAAGCACTCTACTGAACTAGCTCCCTGACCCCCAGCAGAGTGCATACCTAGGGTTTGCTGGCCTTAGGTTATCCTTAGTACCAGTAAGGGAAACATAGTTCCCACCTGAGGTATTGGGAACTTTTAAAAATATTCTAGTCCATGAACTCCTACACTGAGATTCTGAATGGGACCCGTGTGTGTATAAGTTTACCAGGTAATTTTGATAAACAACTAAAATGGAAAACACACTAGATGAGTTGTGACGTTCACTCCCCCCACCCTCCAAATCATTCTGTAACTATTATTTGGTGGCAGTCTGCAGTGGCAGAGTTTTATTTGCCAGGCTCTCTGCTCATGGAGCTCTTGTTCTAAAGAATGGTGTAAATAAATCTTTACTAAAACTTGTTTTTAGTGCATGTGCAGTATTAGAAATAGAATAAGATCTATTTCATAAATTCTGTGTGTGCGTGCTGGCACACGCCTATACTCCCAGTGTTGGGGAGGCTGAAAACAGGAGGGTCACTATGACTTCAAGTTGTGTAGTGAGACCCTGCACAAAAAAAAAAAAAAAATCTGTGTTTTTTCAACCTCAAACTTAGGAACCATTTTACTTATTTTTATGTAGAAAAAATAGTACAATATGGAAACATTTAAAACCCCAAAAAAATGTCTTAAAATCTCTGCTTAGATTCTTGTATTTTTTCCTATAGGCTGCCTTAGTATGTAAGCATAAAGAGAAGCCTATTGACGTTGATATGTGTAACATTAGTAATGTGGTATAGTCTTTCATAAGTGAGAAAAATGTTTTTTGTTTTTTGGGTTTTTTTTTGAGAAAATTTTTTTCATCTCATTCAAGTCATACTGTCCTATCACTTTATTATTGTAAACAGCTTTTATGCCCAATTTTTCTTTAGGATGAAGATATAACACTTCAGATAACAGAGAATGAAGATAATGAGGAGGATGACATGGTTGATGTTATCTGGCGTCAGTTAATATCAAGCTGCCCATGGCTTTCAGAACTTGACGAGAGTGCGACAGAAGGAGTTATTAAAGTGTGGAGGAAGGTTGTAGATAGAATCTTCAGCCTGTACAAACTGTCATGCAGTGCATATTTTACTTTCCTTAAACTCAATGCTGGTCAAGTAGGTAGCATGTTCTAACAAAAATTATTTGGAACCTTTTCTCTAGTAAATGAAAGCAGTACACTGAATTACTTTGATTTTTTTATTTCTTCCTCAACTTTGATTCTTAGATTCCTTTAGATGAGGATGACCCTAGGCTACATTTAAGTCACAGAGTGGAGCAGAGCACTGATGATGTGATTGTGATGGCCACATTGCGTCTGCTCAGGTTGTTGGTGAAGCATGCTGGTGAGCTCCGGCAGTATCTGGAGCATGGCTTGGAAACAACACCTACTGCTCCCTGGAGAGGTGATGGCCTAACTAAAATATCTTAGTAAATACTGTTTTTGACTGGAATACATAAGACAGTAAAACAACCAAACTGAGAAAACTTCCTTCATGTTTATGTTTTGAGTGTGTAAATATAGCCATGTTAGTTCATAGCATACTGTAAACTGCTTTTTTATATATAACAGAAACCTTCCCTCCCACCTTTTGGAGAATGAGAATGTGATAAAACAGGAGCTTTTTATATACAAGTGAATTTTAGAGAGAATGGTGAAAATAAATTTAAAAGGATTTTGTATACTCTTGGAAATTTGTGTCTGCCTTCTTTGTAGGCATTCACAGGAAATACAGTTCTTTAGAACACTTTGGATTGCTTTGGACTTTGAATACAGCTCTGTACTATAGCTAGTCTTGCAAATCAAGAGCTATTGTATATGGTTGTTTGTTATCATGGGGAGAACTTTGAAGCCCTTAAAAAGTAACCTTCTTTCCCTAAAGGAATTATTCCGCAGCTTTTCTCACGCTTAAACCACCCTGAGGTATATGTGCGCCAAAGTATTTGTAACCTCCTCTGTCGTGTGGCTCAAGATTCCCCACATCTCATACTGTATCCTGCAATAGTGGGAACCATATCACTTAGTAGTGAATCTCAAGCTTCAGGTATGCAGTATTACAGTACTCAGTATAAATTGTTTTACCATTAATTTTAAGTCTTTTGAGCTTTGTATTAAAGAGTTGATAGAGTTTGTAGTATTTGTAGTAGTAATTATCATTTATTAAGGGGGAAGGGGTAACTGCTGTGTATCTGGTACTGAAACATGTCTTCAGTCTTTATAATAATAACCTGTGCAAGTCAAGAAAAAATGGAGTGATTCAGAACTGTAAATGACAGACCAAACTCCATTCTTTGGCTGGAAGGATATTTTATTTGTTAGAGATTTAGTCATATTTTGCCTTAAGTTTCTTCCATTAATTTATAATGTTCATAAACATGAAAATTGAACTTGTAAAAATGCAGATTAGCTATCATCTTTCGTCTCCTTAATGTACAGAAAGCAGTTAGAGAGATACTCTAGAGTGCAATAGATTGTCCAAGTTTTCCCCAACTCAGTATGTGCATGGGAAAAATATTCGAAGTATTCTGTTTTCCCATTTCACTGTAGGGAATAAGTTTTCCTCTGCAATTCCAACTTTACTTGGAAACATTCAAGGAGAAGAATTAATGGTTTCTGAATGTGAAGGGGGAAGTCCCCCTACTTCCCAGGATAGCAGTAAGGATGAACCAAAAAGTGGATTAAATGAAGACCAAGCAATGATGCAGGATTGCTACAGCAAAATTGTAGATAAGCTGTCCTCTGCAAATCCAACTATGGTTTTACAGGTACACGATTCAACTTTCTAAAATAGATTTTATTACAATGCCCGTCTCCTTTACCTTAGGCAAAGGCCTAAAATAATAAAATTCAAAAACTTATGAAGTATTTTAGAACTAACGCTTTCTGAATAAATCAGGAATGGTTTTATCAGTTTGTATGAATAAAATCACTAGTCAGGGGGGCTAGGAAGATAGCTTGGTGATCTTAAGTCCCTGACTGGCAAGTGCAAGGACCTGGGTTCCATTCCTGGTACCTCATGCTGTGCTCGCCTCCGAAATTAGATGTGGTGGCGCACGCCTGTAATCCCATCCCTGGGGAGGCTGAGAAATGAGGATCACTACAAGTCTGAGCTGTGTAGTGAGACCCTTTATCAAATAAATAATAAAAGATTTTTTTAATTAAAAAAAAAAACACTAGTCAATGTTCTCTAATTGAGTAATTACAAAAGTATACACATTTAACTTGAGATGTCCAGTATTTGAAGAATTGTGCTGGAAGCAAAGTTGGAGATGAACTGTTTGGATTTACAATGTACACAGGTTCAGATGCTTGTGGCGGAGCTGCGCAGGGTCACTGTTCTCTGGGATGAACTCTGGCTGGGAGTTTTGTTGCAGCAACACATGTATGTCCTGAGACGAATTCAACAGCTTGAAGACGAGGTGAAGAGAGTCCAGAACAACAATACCTTACGCAAGTGTGTTTTCTTTCGTTTTACTCAAAATGTGAAGCTGCCTCTTTTTTTAAAAAAATGTGGTAATCTACATAACAAAATTTATTGGCCCATTTAATGGCATTGTATACATTCATGCTGTTGTGCAGCCATCACCATTGTCTAGAACTTACTATCCCAAACAAAAGCTCTGCATTCATTATGTACTAATCTTTCCTTCCCCCCTAATGTCATTCGCTGGTCACCTCTATTCTTTCTGTATGAATTTGCCTATTTTAAATACCTTATTAAGTGAAATTCTGTAGCATTTGTCCATTTGTGTCTAGCTTTTTTCTCTTGGCATAATGTTTTTAGGGTTCATTCATGTTGTAGTATATCAGAATTTCATTTCCTTTAAAGGCTATTTTATTGTAACATTTTACCAACCCATTCATCTGTCAGTGAGTGGTTGGGTTGCTTGTGCATTTTGACTATATGAATGCTGTTCTCAATAGTTGTGTATGAGTGTCTAGTGTCTAATTTGAATCATTTTATGGTAAATGTGCTGGATCATACGACAGTACTGTATTTAGTTTTTTGAGAAACTGACATACTTTCTCCAGTGACTATACCATTTTACATTCCCAAAAGCAGTGCATAATGGTTCTAGTTTTTCTTTGATAGTACTGGCTGCTTTTATTTTTTAATTATTGATGGTATCTCATTTTGGTTTTATTTTTCTAATGAGTAGTGGTTTGGAGCATCTGTGTGAGACAGAGACAGGGATTGGACATTTATGTACTTTCTTTGAAAAAAAATCAGCTCAAATCTTTTGTCTTTTTTTTTTTTTTGGCTGTGGTGGTGGTGGTCTTGGGGATCAAGCCTAGGGCCTCATGCATACTAGGCAAGCACTGTACCACTGATGTACAACATCTCTAACCTTTTGGCCTAGTTTCAATTGGGTTGTTACTGTGTTTATTTTTTAATTTTTTTGCGGAACCGGGGATTGAACTCAGGCCCTTGTACTTACTTGCCAGGGAAGTGCTTATTCTACTGAGCCATCTCCCCAGCCCCATCCATTACTGTGTTTAATGATTTGGATGTACTTTCTGTATTTATAGGTTGTCATTTCCCTCTCTTGGTAATATCTTTTAATGCCTACCTATCTCTGTGTGAGTGTGAGTGAGTGTGTGTGCGTGTGTGTATATCTATCTAACTTATCTGTCCTATCTATCTATCAATCTATCTATCTATCTATCTATCTATCTATCTATCTATCTATCTATCTGTCGTTTTGGTGGTAATGTTCACTGAACCCAGGGCCTTCACACTGACTACATACCCAATGCCCTTAACTATGGTTTGTTTTTTGTTTTTTGTTTTGTTGTTTTTTTTTTTAAATTTTGAGATTCTTACTAAGTTGTCCCAGGTGGGCTAAACTTGTGATCCTCCTGCCTCAGCCTATTAGTGCTAGGATTGCAGGTGTGTGCCACCATACCTAGCCAATGCATAGAGGTTTTAATTTTGATTTTTTTTTTTTTCTAAGCTACACTTCATTTTGGTGCAGTATCTAGACTTAGGATCATTAAACCTTTCCATCTGTTTTCTTCTAAAAGTTTTATAGTTTTATCTTAATTCTGTGACCCATTTTGAGTATTTCGCTTGTAGATACCCTATTGTCCCACATAACTCCTTGAAAAGAAAAGCTGCTGCTTATGTGCTGGATATTTTTTATAGTGTTATAGAAGTTACTTTGCCAATATTTTATTACTCTATACTTTTTCTCTGATTCTTTTATTTATTCATATGTTATCCACTTAAATTGTCCCATGTTTCTATAAACTTTAATTAATAAATTTCTAAATATAAATTTTTCTGATCAGAGAAGAGAAAATTGCCATTATGCGGGAGAAGCACACAGCTTTAATGAAGCCGATTGTATTCGCTCTGGAGCACGTAAGGAGTATCACAGCAGCCCCTGCAGAGACACCTCATGAAAAGTGGTTTCAGGATAACTATGGTGATGCTATTGAAAACGCACTTGAAAAACTGAAGACTCCATCAAACCCTGCAAAGCCTGGAAGCAGCTGGATTCCATTTAAAGAGGTACAGTTGGCCTCAAGAACACTACTAAAATAGAAAAATTCCCTGTGAGGTACAAAATTAGAGTAAGTGGATTCTCTTTATAGAGAACATAAGAGAACATTTTTGTAAACCCATGAAAGGCAGCCTGTGACTGACTGACTCCAAGAAATGTAGATCCAGGCATATTGGTACACGCCTGTAATCCCAGCCCTTAAGCAGGAGGATTGGCATGAAGTTGAGGCCAGGCTGGCTATAATAGTGAGAGCTTGTCTCAAATAATTAAAAACAAATGCAGGGAAAAGCATGTTGTTGATTTTGAGCAAAAATGGGGAGGTAGTGGCAAAGGCCGCTGCTTATGGAGGGTCCCTACCAGAAAAGAGTATATGGTAGGGGTTGTCTGTCTCAAAAGAGATACAAGAAACTAAATCTTTTGCTTTTATAGTTTAACTTATTAGTATTTATAACAAAATATTTATGTATAATAACATTTTTTAGAAGTACTCATTGAGCATCCCTAATCTAAAACCTGACATCAAAACTTTGGTGTAATGCTTTATATACTTGGATTAGCGATGCTGAGTGGTTGAAATTAATGCAAAAGTATTCCAGAGTCTGAAAAACCATGAAGTCTAAAACATTTTGGAAATTTGGATAGCGACTGCTTCACCTGTAATTGTTGTGAAACCTATTCTGCATATT